GAAAAGCACTGCCGATATGGGTGGGGAGTATTTGGGGACGTGTTCATTTTGATTACAGTACATATGAATTTATGTTGAATTTATAATTTCTGGCTAAATTATGGACAGTGAGACAAATAGAAAGACTTGTTTGGTTATTTGTAAAGCAATGCGTGTTTGAAATGCATAAAGCTCTAGTTTTGTTCTAAAATCTAGGGAACCCCCTAACTAGGCAGCATTTTCTGATTCAAAAGGTGTTCCAAACAGTATAGGCAGCAAATTGATCCTTCCTTCGAGATAACTTATTTGATCAGAATTCAGGAAGTTCTACAGAGACATTCCCAGAACGCATTGCAGTAACCTCAAATGTTCAGTCAATGCTAAAACATATCAATAAAATCAGTCACATCTAATTAAAAATGAACTATGATACAGTTCCAAGCCCTCCACTAGTGACTATTCTGGGGTGTGATGTCAAAGTAGACAAGAACATATATTTAATATCAATACTAATTCATAAGAAGAAGATTCACAGTTCAGATAATTATGACCCGACGCATGACGTAGGGTGTAGGAGTCTTGTAAGTTTAGGTGAGAGTAGACGCCTCTCGAGGTTCAGACAAATAGGCCTTGGCAACAAACTCAAGCTCCTCTTACATTTCTCTTTATAAATTCCTGTTTTAGACTTCTTATTCATCACCGTTGTTTTGTTTTGCTCTATCTTTTGCGCTTCCGCATTCATCAATACATCATATGTCGGGTCAGAGTTCGCTCTTTTGCCGGAACTAGACTCGCGTACGCCTATTACCGGAAGCCAGTGATTATAGTTCATAAAGTTCTAAATATGGATATTTTTCTTTAAAAAATGTCGCTTCGCTAATAAACGTGGTCATGTTTATTAACCCCCTGGATGGATGCGCCTTTTTTGGACTTAAGATCTTCTTGACATGATGCTGTCCTGTGTCCACAGGAATCAGCTGAAGTGTTTGAGGTTCAAGTTTTCCCTTGTGTCTGCGCGCGTGCAATACGTGGGCGGGCAATATACTAATGTTTTGTCTTGACATTACGACGAAACGGCTTATGACTCCTTTGAAAAACGATTAATTTGATTGACTCAGAGTCAATTCTTACTTTTGAAAGACAATAACTTTATATACGGTGCACTTTCAGATTTAAAACTTTGCAGGATGTTTTCATTCACTTAGAGCTATGTTACACACTACATAAAAGGTCATTTTCAAAAATCCATAATCCACCTTATTCCTGACGACCTTACTGCGTTTTGAATAATGGGTGGCACTTCCGGTTTGGGGAACTTCCATTAAAAAAGGCTGAAACGAATCATTTCAAATCATAAGGTTGCCCTACAAATAAAGCTGATCCGTCAGTTTGACTGGATGAGCTGTCAATTTTCCTTCATGATTTATTTTCAGACATCATGAGAATGACGTTATACTTGGTATTTTAACGTGACATTGTTATAACAAGAATATCTATGGTAAGAGCTCTTTTCAGTAACTGCTTTCTTTTCCTCATGATGATTTTTCTTTTTTCTTTTGCAATCCGCTGTAAAAGTATGAAAAAGGACAACATATACGGCACATTTGTGGTCTGTTCTCCCGCATTTAATTTACGATATTCCATTAATAATTCACTGGAATGCACGAAGAATCTCTCGTTATTCTCCTCAAATCCTCACGTCTCTTTCCAGGTTTGTTTTCACAGGTAAATGCAATTTATAATCTGTCAAAATGATGGAAATCACTTTGATATAGTGTCACGTAATGCTGAAGTTAATGAACATTTTTGATTAAGGCTTGTTATACAATACAGATATGATATATATTTGCCTACTACAGTGATATTTAACCAAAGACTCACGCTTTTGAGGCTATTTTTGGTCTGTTGAAAGTACCTTGTTGATTCTTTTAAACTTTTAAATTTCATTTTAATGTTCGATGGTTGAAGGGTGAGTCGATTAATGTCATCTCATTGTGACACTTTTTTAACGTATTGCGTTCATAGAGCAAACCTTTCACTGATTGTTTAACGTTACAGCTTAACGGAAGTTACACCCATAATTCGCGCAAAGCGTCATGGGGCGTAGGAATAAGGTGGATAGGGGCCCTTTAAAGTCTCTCCAGCGCTGGAAAGCTTCTCCGATGTTAAAGGAGTAGTTCACTTTCAAATGAAAACTAGCCCATGATTTACTCACCCTCTAGCCATCCTAGGTGTATATGACTTTCTTCTTTCAGACGAATACAATCAGAGTTATATTAAAAAATATCCTGGCTCTTCCAAGCTTTATAATGGCAGTTAATTGAAACCAACAGATTGAAGCTCAAAAAAGTGCATCCATCCGTCATAAACGAACTTCACGTGGCTCCGGGGGGTTAATAATGCCTTCTGAAACGATGAGTTTGTGTAAGAAAAATATTAATATTTAAAACTTTATAAAGTAAAATAACTAGCTTCCGGCCAAACGAACATACGGATTCCACTTAAGTGTAAAGCGCAACTTATGCAAGTAATGCGACGTACTGCTGATATTTATTTACGCTACGCCATGACGCACTACGCTACTTCTGACGTCACATGTTGCGTAAGTTGCGCTTTAGGGGCAAGTAGACTGCATATGGCCGTTTGGCCGGAAGCTAGAATTTTACTCTGTAACGTGTTAAATATGAAGTAACATAAGGCAGCAACGTAAAATGTGAAAAAAAGTAGGGGTTTGAATACATTCGCAAGCAATTTCACAAACACACACACACACACTTAGTTTTCTTAATTTGTGAAAATACACAAATACACTTGGCCCAACCTAAATCGAAATTGATTCTCGGCTCTGCTTTTATTGATAATTTTTTTAATTTTGTTTGTGGTGTCTATAGGTTCTTGTCAGAAAGAAGTATATAAGTGTGATGTGAGATTATTGTTTTATTGTATTGAAGCGTCAGTTCCATTTGCATGTTGAATAGAGGGTTGTCGTCTGGCAGCGGCCTGGTTTACCTCTTGTTCTGAGTTTAAATAGAGCTGAATGTGCTCTATTTTCCTGTCAGCGTGAGCGAAGATAAACACAGAAAAGAGTGATGAAATTTAAGATTGAAAATCAAGAGGAACAACCGCGGTGGAGGCTGTTGTTATCCCCGGGAAAACAGAATGAAACGCTGGCTTAACTTTGGGGGAATTCTGCAGACAATTACAAGTTTCTGAGACCCTTTTCTTTTTATGTATGTGTGTGTGTGTGTGTGTGTGTGTGTGTGTGTGTGTGTGTGTGTGTGTGTGTGTGTGTGTGTGTGTGTGTGTGTGTGTGTGTGTGTGTGTGTGTGTGTGTGTGTGTGTGTGTGTGTGTGTGTGTGTGTGTGTGCGTACGTGCGTGCGTGCGTGTGTGTGTGTGTGTTTCAGACTGATGTCCTCTCTCCTCCCCATCTTTGTCTCCTTAATGTTGGGCTCTCTGGTAAAATAAACGCAGTAGACAAGAGTTCAAAGCTGCATTTGATGTTGTATTTGCTGAGAGGAGAAGTGAACAAAAGAGCTGAAAGCCTCTCTCGCTCCTGCTTTCTCTCTCTGTGGTCTGCTGGTCTCTGACTCTCTGCCTCTAGTAATTACAGCGTTGTGGAAAGGGCAGTGACCGTGTGTTATTAGGAATGACCATGGCCCAATTTTTTTTTTGTAGAAATTTTTACCTAGAGATGCACCGATTACAATTTTCTAGGCCGATTCCGATTTTTCAAAGTTTGACCTGCCGATACCGATTTTAGCCGATTTGGGCACTTTTGTGTGAAATCATATTTATTTTGTCCATCAAAAGTGTACTTTCACTTTAATTGAGCGTCCGGTATTTTCGTATTATAATTGTTAGTGGCAATATATTTATAATAATGATAATAATTATTATTATTATTTACTATTATCAGAGAGGGGCACAATACATTTTGAGACAAAAGGGGCAGATTAAACAGATGGAAGTATGTACCTCAGTGTGTACTTTTAATGTTTAAATGGTGTAATATTTGTGAATTGTATTTATCCATTTTCTCGCAAGTACCTTCAAGGTTACTCTCTGGTGCTGTGCACTTGCCGCGAGGGCCCGCCCACACGCTGTTATGATTGGCTTTGGGTTTTTATTGATTTGACACATCTCGTCGGGTCGCATCTGGTGTGGACAGGCGAATTGCTAAATCGCATGGTTAGGACACGGTGTAAATCTTCGTTGTTGATTTTGGGGGAAAAGCTCCACAAAGTAACAACACAGTAATCTTAGGAGAGGACAAAGAAAGGAAGAGACTATTAAGAAAGATTTCTGGAGAGATGAGAAAATGTTGATAGTGCCACATGCAGAAGTACCTCCAAAGACATTGATATCATCACAAAAAAAAATATTTATACAGATAAGTTATTATATTCATTTTCAACAAATATTCATCCAATATAAATCATATTTAAAAATAAATCAACAAGGTGTCAAAAAGTTACCATGGAAAACTTAGTTTCCACAAAAATAAAAGCTACTAATAGTTACTGTATTTACTATATAAAAAAGAACAAAGCAATAAGTCAAGAGAAATTTCAAATAATGCTGTTCTTTTTAAAATTACTATTTATCTCAGAATTAAAAAAAAAATCATCATTGTTTAAACAAAAAAAAATAAGCAGCTGTTTTCAAAATTGATAATGATAAATAGAAATGTTTCTCGAGCTCCAAATAAGCATATTCGAATGACTTCTGAAGGATCATGTGACACTGAAGACTAGAGTAATATCTACAAAAAATTAAGCTTTGACATCACAAGAATAAAATACATTTGAAAATATATTACAATACCAATCAATTATTTTAATATTTCACAATATTGCTGCTTTTACTGTATTTTTGATTAAATAAATGCAGCTTTGGTGAGCCTTTTTTTTTTTCAAAAACTTAACATCTTACAAACCCCATGCTTTTAAACAAAGGATAATGGATTGCATAATGGATTTTTTTATGACTTTTTACGTCTGTCTTTGCGTTTTCTCCACAGAAATGCATGAAATTTAACCTGGAGTCACCTATCTGGTTGTCTAAACAACAAATCCTCTGCACACTCAACCAGAGCCTGAAAGATGTGTTAAATTACGGACTCTTCCAGCCTGCGTACAACGGCAAAGCTGGAAAGTTCCTGGATGAGCAGCGCACACTGAAAGAATACCCACTTCCTGCCATCCCTCCTGTCCCGTACCTTGAGGTGAGGGCTTCTCTCTGACCTTACTCATGGAGCAGACCACAGTCTGTCGTGGTCATGTTGTAAACTATTCCACTGCACATCCATTTTCTGCTCAGCTCATTCATTGTTCTCTTTCTACTAGTTTTGGCACTGCTCTCTTTTACTTTTCTCTCTCATTTCATCCTCTTAATGGTCTTTTCCTGTGATTGGCTGAGGGAATGTGACACTAGTATTTGATACAGAACCTATGGCTGTGTTTTACACTTTTGGCTTAGTGTTATGCACAAAAACATACACACATTCACAGGATTAAGTACGAGAGCTGTATTGATTGGGATACAGTGTTTGACAGACGGGTAGATTAAATCTATGTTGGTCCCATATCAGTTATCAGGCGAAATTAGAAATTGGTAAGAGTTTACAGTAAGGTTCCATTTGTTAACATTAGTTAATTACGTTAGTTAACACGAACTGACAATGAAAAATACGTGTAAAGCATTTATTGATCTTAGTTCATGTTAATTCCAACATTTAATAAAACACTATTAAAGTCAAAAGTATCTGTAAATATTATTTAATGGACCTGACCTAATATGAGCTAGCCTGGTAATACCAGACTCTGCTACTTCACTTTGCTTCGTAGACAGAGTCTGGAATGGCATAATAGAGAAGTGTTTTCTCTCTCGCTAGGGGGCGCTTGTCTGAAGTTTAAAACCATTGGTTACCCGTAAGCCAATCAGATACGTTTATTTATGACGTATGTTATGTGCCAACACAGCCGCATCGAACCACAGACATCATGCATCGAACTCAAATCTATGATCGAACTTCCACTGTAAACCTGCTGTAAACACTTGATGATGCGAGCGAAATACCGGAGTGAACATGGCTGTAAACGACTTTTGCAGATTATGCGAAGTTAATCTACGCATCCACGGTACAATCAGGGCCTCTAAACTGATATTTGACAGTAGAGAGAAACAAAAAAATATTTGCAGCCAACTGTCAAAGTTAGGATTAGTTCTGTTAAACACAGCTCTTTGTTCATCTCGAGTCTGTCGGAAATGCTGGAACTTAATTGCAAGATTACAGCATGTCATGGCAATATTTAAGACCTGGAAAAGAAAGGAGACACTGACCTGTCAAAAGGCTCCCCAGTTTCTCGCTGACGATCGGTAATAGTTGATAAATTAAACTTTTCCCAAAGGGAGTAGGGCCACAACATCACCTCCATTCAAAATGTTTAATACACACTCTTCTTGTTCGGGCTTCAGTTTGCTAATGCCGGGAATATTCTCCACAGCAGAGCGAATTGCCTCCGAGTCTCCATATCCGCGGTCGTTTTCGACTTCCCTGACCTAACCTTAAACTCGGCGCTTAGCGACTACGTCACGGCTTTCAGCCCGCCCTCTGTTCGTTGATTGGCCCGGCTGTTTTCAGGCCGGAAGAAAACGGATAGATAGGCCGCTGTCTCAGACTGAGAACAGAAGCGAAATGAAATTGAGCGGAAGTACGAAGTCTGACGTAGTCAGGCTAAATATAAGCTAAGGAACGGATTTATATTTATTTACTCATGTTAACTTATATTATTGAATACTGTAGCAAATATTTTGCTCATTGCATTAACTATTGTAACTAGGGGTGCGCCAAAATATCGATATGGCGATATCTCACGATATTTACTCCCGCGATCGATTCTCGATGCGCTCTTGCCAAGTATCGATCTTAAAAGCCGTTATAAAACGCTCTATTCATTATCCCCGTTGACTGGATTTGACTAGCTTTCATGAGGCACACACGCAAAGTCTCTCGCTCTCTCCCTCTCTGCCGTGCTATGTATGTTATGCGCGCAGTAGGCTGTTCTGTCTCGCATGCGCGCTCTAGATTCTGGGAGATTTGAACTAATTTGCGGGCATCAGGGAGACGCTATCATTATGCGGGAGACTCCCGGAACTTCCGGGAGACTTGGGATGTCTGGCTTTGCAAAAGTCCGCAAAACGGGAAACACGACCACATGTACAGACACCTCACGCGGCATCACCCGGAGCTCTGTGAGAAAGCCGTGGTTGGTGCTGGCTCGAAGCCGACACACCCCGGCGTAAACATTTTTATTACTACTGATTGCAGCAATGTTACACTAAAATAGTGTCTGTGACTGTTTTGTTGCAACTGATAAGACACAAGTTGTTTTTGTTATTGTGTTTCATCCCAAAAAATAAATGGAGATTAATTTTCCTAATTAAAAAAAAAATTGTATTTCTTAAAAACATGATATATTGTGAGTTATTACTGATAATATGTCGATTATCGCAGTATCGCCATATCGTGATATTATCGGTATCGTGAACAATGTATCGCATATCGTATCGTATCGTGAAGTACCCAGCGATTCCCAGCCCTAATTGTTACCTAGTTGGCAAAATGTTTCAGTCAGTGTTGGATATGTATATTCGATTCGTATTGATATATTTGAGAATACTAAGTAGTTTAAGCCCTACGTAGAGGGTCATACCCATGGGCGTCAGTTTGGTTTGAAATGTGGGGGGGACAGAGACGCATTCGGAAGGGCATTTTCAAAAGTGCTGGGTACAATGACGCGTTCATTCTTTTTTCTCTTTCGCGCAGGTCATGGTTTGAAAGACGCCGATGTCCTGTAGCTTACTGATTTAAATAAATAAAAATGTATACAAAGATGTGATGATGTCCGACCAAAAATGTGATGGTACTTTGGGTTTAAATTTAATATTATATTAAGATCTAATATAATGTTGTTAGTATCGTGAATTTTTACGTGAATATATATATATAGATCCGCCTGCGATGCGTATGTACTGTAATGGTCCAGTGGCAGAATTTTTGCCAAGCGTGTCGGAGGTTGAGGGTTCTAATCCGCACTCGTATAGTTTTTTTCCCCACATCAAAACCGATAATTGTATATCAAGAATCTTGATATACTTTATCACTGATAAACATTATCGGTTTTGATGAGGGGGAAAAAAAACTATACGAGTGCGGATTAGAACCCTCAGAAGCAGGGACACGTTTGTGTGCATTTTGAATTGTGATTTCTCTGGAACGAATAGAATCTCTGCAACGGATTGAAGCGCGCGTCCGAGTGAAGACAACACATTTCAGCGCTAGATCGCCTCTTATTTAACAAATGAATTAAACGAATGCTGCTAGTTAACTAGAGATTTTTTATTTGTATTGGTACATCCGTGACGCGAGATGTTTCAAAAGTGGTGGGGACAATATCGACCCTGGCAAAAAGTGGTGGGGACATGTCCCACCCGTCCCCCCCGTAAATGACGCCTATGGTCATACCCCCAAATCCCTCCATAATTCATACCCTGTTCTTGAGGCACACTATGTGCACCAGTAAAATAAAAGCTTGGCTTGCTTACAGTGTGTTCAGCAGATCTCTTTTTTTCACCCTGCCTTCTTGAGTATATCTCCATTGTTCCATCCTCTTCTGTCAGCCTGTGTGGTCAGGAATACTCCGATTATCATTTCACCTGATTTATCATTCCAATTTTGACTTTTGTGGGGCTGCATTTGAGCGAGAGAGCAAACAAGAGTTGGCTTCTGAAAAATGGCCTCTCCATATTTCTGCTGTGAGCCGATAAATGACAGAAAGAAATCATTTCCTTTATGCAGTTAGGCTCTTTCTGAATTTGTTGCTGCACTAAATTTATTACAAATGTCTCCTAGGTGCCATAAACCATGACAAGCATGAATTAATGTCTCAACCCGTTTGCCATCAGTTAAAGACACACATCTATATAAGCCTCTAAATATGTTTGACTGTGTTATAGACTTACTGACATAACCTACAAATCCTCTCCAGTCAAGCAGCACAGCATTATGTCCTAACCAGGTGTGATGCAATAGTAACTAAAATACCATCCATCCGTTATATCTATTTCATTTTGTAAAGTGACTTTGAGTTTTTGAGTGACTTTGTAGCAATGCACTATATAAAATGTATGTATTTATATGTATATATGTATGATATGAATTTATATATGTACTGTATATAAATATAATTTTAAAATAATGGAGACTTAAGTAAACTTATGTCAAACTAACATCAATTAAGTTTCCAATTTCAAGTAATCTCCAGTCCACACAAATTTCAGCCAATCAGAAAATATTTGATTACAGTCGTGCTCAAAAGTTTAGAGAATCTGCAAAATGTTAATTATTTTAACAAAATACGAGGGATCATACAAAATGCACGTTATTTTGTATTTAGTATGGTCCTGAATAAAATATTTTACATAAAAGATGATTACATATAGTCCACAAGACAACAAAAAGCTGAATTTATAAAAATGAAATCAAGAATCAAGGGTATGTAAACTTTTGAACGGGGTGTTCAAAAGTTTACAAACCCTTGATTCTTAATACTGTGTGTCGTTACCTGGATGATCCACAACGTGTTTTTTTTTTTTTTTTTTTTTTTTTTTTTTTTTTGATGGTTGTTCTTGAGTCCCTTGTTTGTCCTGAACAGTTAAACTGCCCAATGTTCTTCAGAAAAATCCTTCAGGTCCTGAAAATTCTTCAGTTTTTCATCTTTTGCATATTTGAACCCTTTCCAGTAGTGACTGTAGGATTTTGAGATCCATCTTTTCACACTGAAGTCAATTGAGGGACTCAAACACTATTTAAAAAAAAACTATTTAAAAAGGTTCAAACATTCACTGGTGCTCCAGAAGGAAACACGATGCATTAAGAAAACCTTTGAACAGGATGAAGATATCCTAAATGTTCTTATTTTGTTTAAACATAAAAAAATTATAATTTAGTACTTCCCTTCGGAAGCAACAGAAGTTACATGCATACATGTTTCCTGGAAGACAAATTAAATACAATTTACCTTCAAATACCTTGATCTTCAAATTCAAAAAGTTTTCACCCCCCGGCCACCAAAACACCGTTGTCGTGTAAATGAATGGCCAAAGTGGATAAAAAGTTAAGATTTCAGATTTTAGTTGAAACCGGTGTTGTGTAAATGGCTC